CATTCTGGTTCTTCTTGAATTCTTACTTACGAATTATTTCCCAACTTCTTCTTTAATAGGTACTAATTTACTGCTGCTTTTCCAGTGGCTTATAGTCTGAGGCTGGATACCTGTCACCTCAATCATAGCCAGCCTGATGTTCTTACTTATGTTTCCAAATCCTCCACCAGAAGTTTAAACTCTCTTTGGTTATGGTTTATCTTAAACCAACTAAATGCTGTAGACACGAACTGTTTTTCCAGTGAGTGAGTTGCTTGTAATTAGAAGAGGCCCTGAAGCAGAATCCTGGATCTAAAGACACCTGAGCTTTGGCGAAATCTGGGCATGAATTTTATCTGATTTAGCAGCTTAGCCCTGTTCTTGCCTGCAATGTAATCCTTCAGAAGACTTCACAAATATAAAATTGCAAAGCAGAGGTGCACCTCTGGTAAGAATCCTCTGTCCGTAATGCAGTCACCTGTAACTAAACCAGATATGCATTTAGGTTATATTAAGATAGCTTCATACAAAACACCATATAAAGGAAAAGCTACCAGAGGTTATAGATGGTGGGTGGAAAAGAGCAGTGAGTCACACTCACCATGAGTAAAAGTGCTGACCTTCTGAACAACATTGCTAACATCTCTGTGAAAAACAGCTCTCTCTTCACCTCCACAACAGCTTTTCTGAAATAGTCAACTGAGAATCCAAATGGCAACACCAATACTCATTGTTGCAGTCTTTAAAAAAAAAGTTTTGAAGTTTAAGCTTTTAACTAAAGAGTTGTCAGTAAAAACTTGTAAGGTCTTTCATCAGCCCAAAGGAGAAATAACAATAAAAGAGTATTTTTAATATGGAGTATTACAAGCGACCGTCTTCCAAGAACAAGGGGAATCAGTGATTTGGAATTCATTCTTTGCAATTGATGCATGGAAATTGTCCATTAAGCTGAGGAGAGATTTCAAAGAGAGTTGGTTAAAAAACTCAGAATATGTTTGAGTCTCCACCTCTCAGATAAGAAACGTATTATTTATTATATATCCACTGGAAAAATCTTGATTTAGCAGCAAGGCAGTTCAGGCCAGCAGAAATTATTCAAAGGTGAAAGACAAATGCTTTTGTACTCACAAAGATACATCAAGAACTGCTTTCAAATACTTTAAATCCTAATCACACACACTGCTTAACTTTGAGCACTGAGTAATCTCACTGAAGCCAATAAGACTATACACAGTTTTTAATGTTAAATACATACAAAAGATTTAAAAGAGACACTTAAGAAGTGTAAAGAAGCAAGAGTTACAATGCATGTAGAAGTATTTCCTATAAAAGTGCCTTTGGAATTGCATTCATTTTAGTGAAATCCCCATCACCAAAACAAATTCAAGAAAAAAAATCTTCCTTTTATCTGGGCCAACTTGTGTATCTGATTCACAATGACTAACACTGTGCCTTGCCCTGTGAATAGGCTCCTTTGTGCTCAAAGGGAGAAAAGGTGGTGAGAATCTTACCCTTCATAAATTCACACTTCCATAGCACTATGAGCATGTGCAGGACAAATTACTTGGTTCTGAGAGGATTTGATCACCAAACTAAAGGGAAATTAAAAAGGAAAAAAAAAAACACATGTGGGGTAGAGAAGGGAAGACAAGAAAAAGAATAAAGCTTGATCCCAACAAAAGATTTCTTGTCATTATTTTCCTTTTTCTTTTTCACTCCCCCTTCCATAAGTTACTATACATTCCACTGGACCCAAAACAATCAGCTTAATTTTGGGGAACACATTAAGAGAGCAAAGGAGGAGGTACAAGGAAAAGACTTTCCCAGAAAGTCTTCCCTAACATTCTCACCCTTACAACACTCATCTGTAAACTCAAAGTTTCAGAATAATCAAAATTGCATTTCTAAGCAAATAAACTCGTCACTAAAGATTCAGTGAGCTTTTATTTGGAATATATACTCTTCAGCGGCATGTGTCAAAACAAAAAGAGAGAGATTCTGTGTCTCATCTCCAAAAGGCTACAAGTAAGAACCCAGAGCCAAAGCCAGGTGGGACCAAGAAGCTGTAATCACCACCATGATTTCTCTTTTCAGATTTACTTCCAAAGCAACAACTGAGTTCGACCGAATTTAGACAGTCCTAGAGCCCTGCACAAGCCATGACAGCCTGACACCAACTGACAGCACCACTAACTTCTGTCACCCTACCTCTCTGTTCCCTCCCCAACACCTACAAGTAAAACTGCCCCTAAATTGAATCATCCAAAGAGACCGTGGAGAAGAACACCGTATCATGTTCCGAGTTCCTACATACACCTTCCTGTCTTCCTTTTAAACCTCCTGCCACACATTTTGGTTGCATACAAAGGCTGCAGAGAATGCTGAAAATCTCATCTCAAACATTTACAGTTTAGATCTTGATTAAGATATAGAGAGATTTCAAAAACAGTAGGTAAAAATCTCAGAATATGTTTGAGTCTCCACCTCCCAGGTAAGAAACATACTATTTATTATACATCCACTGGAAAAATCTTCAGTTAGCAGCAAGGCAGAATATAGAAGAAAATAATTTCTTTAAGACCTGTTTGCTCTTCCACTGTTATTAGTTATATTCACTGCAACACAAGTTCCCAGTAAGGAATTAGGGTCCTACAGAGCTGGGAACTGACAGCACACCCAAGAAAATGCTCACACGTCCCCAAAAACCTCACAGAAATTATAACCAATGACAGGCACATGCAATAAGCAGACGGACAAAAACTATGCTGGAACAGCAAGTACCAGTCACGGCCCACCAGCTGTGTAACACTAGCAAGAGTTTTGGGAAAACCAGAGCAGATAGGAATTTTCAGGAGCAAGTCGAAGGAAGATGATAAAAAGCTTTATTATACTAAGGACACTTTGTTATCCTGATTTCCATCTAGATTCCCCACTACTGCAGCATCGGTTGTTACCAGTGATCCATTAAGTTCTGCAACTGGAATAGCTGCATATCTAGTATAATTCCTATACTTCAATACAATCATCTATTTCCCAGACAGCTAAAGGATTAGTCACAATAACAGTTACATTTTTAAGTCTGAGGGAAGGCACTGCTGCTCTTTTCCATCTGCTCTCACAGCTACTCTAGGTTGGAGGTTGAGAGGGACACAGAAAGAACGCGTGAGGCAGCAAGGCAGAGCATCAGGAGAGAAACATTTCTTTCACATTGTACGGCCACAACCATTAGAAGCAAGAGGGACAAAACACACTAAAGATCAGGGAGGGCTGTGAGGAGAGCAGGAACTCTGCCCATCAATGCTGCAGATTCCTTCACTCAAGCAAGAAAAGAATTATCTTCCAAAGTACCACCACTCTATCCAAAACCATCTCCCTTCCTTTACCAAATGAATTGCAAATAATATTCAACTCCAGTCCCCTACAGGTTACATCCTATTTTAGCTTCTTCAGCCATTAATACAAGGTGAACATTTCATTATCTGTCCACATATTTCATCCCATTTATGAATCATCATCTGGCCACAAAGCCAAGTTAAGACTGCGTGTTTGGAAGTGAGTTCCAACCAGGGCACCTAACCAAGTAAGAAGGATAAAACACTCCTACTACATGTAAGAGAAGGTGAAAATATTCCCCTGTCCTATTAAGCAGAACTATTAACAGACAGGTTGCTAGAATCTGTAACCAAATACAGATGACCTTTAGGCATATATATTTTCTGGGCCACCAGATCCCTAACTTCCTAGAAGGCTCTCTTTAGGACAGGAGGCTACTTTTCTCGTACGTGACTACCTCTAAACCTCTAAATCACTAGCTGAGGAGTGCTCAATCTGTAGCACTCTTAAGCAGAATATAGAAGAAAAACAGTTGCCTTTTTCCATCTAGTCACCTGATCAAAGCATGCTAGTTCCAAATCAAAGTCTTAGGTACTTTCCAGGATGGATGCCCTGCATGGCACATCCTCTGGGAGCCTGGAATTTATCCTCTTGAAGTTAGAGCTGAGTCTGGTGACAAGACCACTTAGATTGAAAGATCTTTTGTGTCAGAGCTGCTCCTTTGTTATGTAATATAGCAGAATTCTGCATACAGCAGAACTGACCTCCAGAAGAAAGAGTATTTGAGATGCTACTTTTCAATTAACAACTACTAAGTTCTTACACAAATATACTCTTTGCTCCTTTATTTTGGTCAAACATAGCATACACCCATTCTTTAAAGCAAGATACTTAACAATAGCTATACGGAGACAGGAAGCACTCAAACAAAAAGAATGGTGTCTGGTGAGAAGGTATCATCCATTTCCGGAGGGACTACAACTAGCCTGGAACCAATTTTCATTTTAGACTAATTTTGCACAAATATAACTCCACAAACTGCAGTGGAAATACCTGTGCATTGCACCGAGCTAGATGTGGAATTGGGCCACAAGACCTTTTTTAAATGACTAATACTGTACTTCAGCAACCTGTACCTGGACTTGTTACTCTGCAAATGCACTTCACTCATATAAACAAGATTTTAAAGGGGCTATCTCAAAGGGTACTATTGAACTACTCAGCAAATATTCTGAGATGCTTTCTGGGAACAATACAGCTGCTGTGTTTTACACTGAAGCAACCATTTTTAACAAGATTTTACCAGATTCCTCGCGTAGTGCAAAAAGAGTTTTGTTTGGATTTTCAAAAAGTCAATAAATTCGTCAAAACAGATTTCAAAGAATTGTTAGTAGACTATTTCACAGTAACTAGAGCATTCATACTTTCGTTCCAAAATGGAGTACACGACCAATTAACTGACAGTTGTAGCAACATATTGTATCTGTGAATTACATTGCTCATAGGAACAACTGTGTTCAGGAATGTACAATGGAAGTGGGAGATAGGTTCAAGATGTTTGGGAACAGGCTGAATTACATACAGATGTACATAACAGCATGTCCAGTCAAAATGAATTAGAAGCAGGAACATACTAAGAAAAGAGATGGAAAAAACAACAACAAATCGTACTGTTATAATTAACATACCTTGCAGTGACACCTGTTGCTTTCCAAGATAAGAAATCCGGAAGATCAAAGAAGTAGCCAGCCTTCTCCCAGCATGATTCTTGCAAATTCTAACAAAAAATGTTTTAGAAATACAGATGTTAGAGGCCAAATATGATCATGTCTGTTTATAAAGAAATTAAGAAACCTGCCAGTTATGTAAAACAGGCAATTTTTTGCAAATCCAATATTCTGATCATCCACCTTTGCTCCACTCACTTTGCAGTTATTTTCTACCTCAAGAACTATCTTCTCCCCACCAGGGACTAACTGTAACAAATGAGTTTCCCCAAAATAATTCATGGAAGTAAAAGTTTCAGATCAATCATACAGGCTCTCTCAGTTCCCAGTCAGCTGCTGAATATCAGAGCAGTCTCAAAGTCAATAGGACAACTTATTCAAAAAATATTTGCTTGAAGAACACACTACTTCATCAAATTAACCATTTTATATTTGATACTTTTGAATTTAATTACAGGCAGAAAACAAAGAGCTCTGTGAGCACTGGAACTCGCAAAGCTTCCAAATTTCTATTGTAAGGCCAAATTTCTATTGTAAGCTTCCAAATTTCTAAGTTTCTAAGAACCTGAAAGCTTTCAGTGAAGCTTTCCCTATGGTTGGGACCTACAGGAACTCTCAGCTGCACAGATCTGCCAGTAAAAATAAGTGTTAAAACCACACTGCAACCATATGCTGCTATCAAAGCATGCAGAGGAATTCCCACCACCAACCAACACAAGTTTACCTTTGTGAACTCTATCTTTCTGCAAATTTCGGTTGAAATATGTAACAATATACAAAGCAGTAGGAATGCCTAAGTTTCCATTCGAAAAGAGGTTCAAAGTTATTTCTCCAATGGGGGAAATAACTGAATAAAGTTATAAGAAAATTCTACAATTAGGGGTATGATACCCGCAAGCTCCTGATAGCCATATGACATTTCCAAACCCCTAAAAAATTGTTCAACCAAGTTAGATCATTTACAGAGAGTTCCCCACGCTATACTTGGTAGAGAGCTGGTGGTCCAGAAAGTACTTCTCAGTGGTCTATTGGAAGAAACTGGTCATATTGCCTGGGACAGGCCCTATCCTTTTTTCCCATCTCCAAAACATGGTCTGAATTCAGCTAATGATACCAAGGTGTTTTCTTAGTATTTCTTTTCCATGTAAACGATCTCCATACTTGCCACAGGGTACCAGACAATGATGAACGGGAAGGTAATTTACCTATGAGCAATTATCTATTTCAGTGTAACAAAAAGAGTGAGAATCACTAGACTGCAATATAATAATCCTATCCAATGGCCACCTCTGGCTGCACCTTAATATAACCAAGGAATACCAAAACCAAACAAAAGTCAGTGCTGCCAACCACAAGGGTCACAAATCATGCCTCTACAGAAAGAAAAGACTGCTTTAAAAAACTCTACCAATGCTTTAAATAACTGAAACAGTGATATGTTTGATTACTTAAGAGCGGCTGTACTAGAAACACGCATTCTAGCTGGGGTCTTTTGGGCGTGGAGCCCTGCTAGGTGGCGTAACTTCAGCAGCATCACAGGCTAGGTCAACAGAGGCATCTAGCAGGCTGAGTCAGATAGCTGGAGAAATACTTCAGAAGTGTATGAGATGGGAAGCTATGTGGGTCTTCAACTCAACACAAGAAATCAGAAGGATGATTTATGTCCTTTTTTGCCTCTGAACTCTCAGATCCCACCTTTTTCATTTACTCTCCATAACCTCAGGCCAAGACTCTTGTACAAGATTCCAGGAGCAGAGGATTATTTTAGAAAAGTGAAAGTATCAAACACTAAGAGAATCTCAGTAATATCAGGAGCTTTCTCAACAGCCACTGCAAAAAATAAAATAAAATAAAAAAATCAGAGTTTAGAAGGAGGCCAAAATTACTGCAGTAAGACAAGAAGTACTTTATCGAAGGTTCTAATAGCTTTGTTTCTTTTCAAGGCACTTTGTTTCAAAAGACAATAAAAGTGTCAATGACTATCAATGATTTAATTATTTGTATTATAGAAGTTCCTATCTGTTTTCTGGAGTGAAAATTAATTAATTGCATAACCAAGACAGTACATGTTGAATTAAGATAAAAGATACTCAAGTTTAAGAAACACTACTTGGTTCTATAACTTATTTCAGATACTATGTGATTTCAAACCAAAATCTTGCAAGTCCCAGAAAGTTACTGAAATACAATCTATAAATTCCAGAAGCTAAGATGAAAGTAGGAAAATACAGAAAAAGAGAGTTTTGTTTAGTTTTGGATCATCCAAATAGCTGACCTTCTTCACGTTTAGCTCTTCAGAAGCATTTACTGTGTTCCTATTGAGTTCAAAAAATAAATGACCATATTGCAACTTTTTATCATACAAAGCACAAGGTTTAGATGCCTGTTACAAATCACTTGGGTTTAATTTACCTCCCAGGTATACATGGTATTTAACCTTAGATGTGAATGCAACGGTGCTCCATAGTTTAGTACAAAGATCATCCAGCCTGATAATTTTGATAATATAAACCATAATGTATTGATAATATACTTCATAGTCAGAAGTAGACTGGCTATTAATTTAGTGTTTTTCAGAAAAGATACTGGATTAAGAATAACTGTCCTCTTTGAACAAATCTGTTCATCAAAGAAACTCCCTAGATCCTGATTTTATTACTTCAAGAATTCCCAAAAGCCACACGTTAGTGACACTAAAGTATGTTGTTTCACGAATATCCAAATGATTCACTCTTTGTCATCTTGATGCTTTGTCATCACTAATTAGTACAGACAAAAAAAAATGATGCTTTTCCCAAACAAATATAAAAATCATTATGTTTTCTACACTCACTGAAATTCATTCCAATTTATTTTCACTCACACTCAAGAATCTGCAACCACATTAGAAGACTGTGGAAGAGAATCGGGAATGTTCCCAATGCTGTATTCATATCCTGCGACTCACCCTCCAAACTCACTTGCAAAGAGGTAAATTTAATCCTTCTGTTTTCCAGGGGTACTTATGGACTGTCCATCCTTTTATTTTTTATTTCACTTTTTTTTATATATATTTTTAAGAACTACTACACCTCCAAAGTTTTGAGATCCTCATGGATAAACCTATCGACATCAGTTCTGAATATGTTGGGAGCAATGTGTTTAAATGTTATGAAGTGCAATATCCTTCAATCTTCTTCGACAAGAAGGGTAAAGGGAAAGTAGGGGATGGGAAGAACTGATACAAATTGCAGTAAAGACTGAGCTCCTCCATTTATTCACTTAACAAATGCCATAGCAGATGTTCTTCTCACTGTCTGGCTTATAAGCTTTGACACAAAATTGGAGGACTTGCGTGTAAAGATAAATGTACAATTAAGCCTCTATTGCCCATTTATTCCTTGACAAGTCAAAAGATTATCATGAATTCATACTGCACAATTTTGTATTGTTATGCATATTTGTTCACTTTTAGATTGGATTGAAAATACACACACACAAACATACACACACGCATGCAGAATTTCACGTGAGCTCCAGTATCCAGCAGGATTTTTTGGAAACACCTAGAGGAACATTCCCCTTAGGAACGCTGAAAGTCATTTTCATGCTAATAATTTACCGGTTTGTTGAGCTAATCTGAGTTAACTTGTTGATAGGAAGCCTTTTATTTGTACTCTTACTGAGTATATTATTTTCTTGTACAATGAAGTGATCTTCACATATTTAAAGTTTGTGCAAAGGCTTTTTTTCCACAAGAAGTAAAATGTGCATGCACACACCAAAGGCCTCCTGACTTTTGTTATTGCTAGTATAGATTAAATAGGAATCAAATGATCTTAAATCTTACTATAAACAGTCTTCACATCAGATCCCTATTGGCCACAAGATTAACTAAAAATGGGCTAAAAGTAAAACATCTGATTTAGCACAGGGTATCAGTCTGAATTTCATGGCTACGTATCAGCCCAAACCCACATATTCAAAAATCATCCCAAAGTGGTGTGTTAGAAATCTAGACTAAAATCAGAGGGACACATGGAAGCAGGAGAATGCCATTTAGCGTAAAAAAGAAAGTTGGCATGTGCGTTCAATTCCACGTCAGGGCAAAATCCAAGTCACCTGAAAACCAGAGACAGAGATTCATCCACTGAACAGTTTGGTTAGCCTGATTCAAAGTAAATTTTTAATCTCAATTTCTCAGGTGATCTCTAATAGCAGGCTATATGGAGTATCAGTCTCTTCTTCTAAATTACAGAAAGCAATTAAATATGCATTCTGTCAAACCAAGAAAGAGAACTGCAGGCTAGCGATTCACATCCTCACGGGGATGTAAGAAACTGATGTCCCACTCCCTGCTCCGGTTCAGAGACCAGAACAAGAACTTGAACTTGGATCTCTCACCCTCCAGATCAGAGAGTGAACCATGCACCAGGGCTATGCTGAGGTACCCACGATAGGCTCTGAATTCTATCTGTGCCAGAGCCAAGGCTGCAGCTTGATAAATTTTGCAGCTATGGGTTGTATGCACAATAACTGGTTAAAAATTAACTAACCAAATTATCCGATTCATCCTGAGGCTGCAACTGAGCCTTGTGGAAGGGGCAGGGAGTGGAGGAAGCCTGGGAAGTATCCTATTAGGAGGATACTGCTGAAGGTGAAGAAACCTGTCTTGCTGCAACACACTGTCTCTACCTCCAGGACACTGTCTCAACCATTTGCAGGTACTTTCAAATCCCAGGCTTCCCTGAGGTACCCTTTGGGTAGCACCACGAGTCAGGTCAGAGTCAGAGTCCAAGTCAGACAGGGCTATGTACATGGCAGAGGGATAGACTAGCCATAAAGGCTGAGGTGCCAGGAGTCCTAACAAGGCAAGAAAATCTGTGTACATGTTTGTAAACCCCACCACACTAACTGAGCTGAGAGATATGGCTGAAAGACAGACTAAGTAGGACGTATGTGGAGAAGCGCAGGTGTTTCAAACCTTCCAGCTGATAATCCTGTTTTTGAAAGGTTATTTCTAATCAGCAACTGCAACTGAAAGCCAAACTCGGCAGCCAAAAGTACAGCC